CAATACTCACTTTTTCATTTTTTTCAACTAATTCTTCCTTATTAAACTGAGAAAAAAGTTGAATAATTGACCTAATACTGCTTGTTCTAGTAAATTTAGTCTGTTGAAAAGGACTTGGTGCTAAATTAGTGATTTTTTTTTTTCTTAATTCTTCTTGCGAGGGTTCCATGTTATAAATTAATTTTGGTAATGATATACTTTAATAAGATTTACATTTTGGTTTATTTTTTCCTTACCTAAATCAACTTCAAAGAAAAATTTTTTAAGGATGGTGGCTAATTCCGCCACATTTTTTAATTTTCAAAATCAAGTCCCATTATTTACCCATTCTTTAAATTGGCTGCTTACCCCCTGAACTTGGCGACCTTGGCTTAATATACTGCCAACATTTCTTTTAATTCCTTGTCAACTATCACGGTGATATATTTCGCAATTAGGACTTAATTCCTCAAAAAGTAAATAAACTTGATAACCATGCTGAGTTTTTACATAACTAAACCGGTAAATTTTGGCAACCAACTCGAAATTTGTCCTGATTTGTTTTTGTAATCAGAGCGGTAATCGTTGAGCCAAGTGAGCAATGTCAACATCCCAAACCTCAAAATATAATCTGCCTCGTCTAGTGCCTGTTCTTTCTCCATGCTCTCCATACTTTCTAACCAATTCCTCAATTCGGCGGTGTTCCTTAATAGTCGGTCAATCACTCCCGCTAGGATATTGCGGCCTTTTTTCTTTGGTGGCAAACTGGTGAGACACCAAATTTTCTTTGGTTGTTTCTTTCTAATAATTAGGTGAGGGACTTAATTATTAGGGGGAGCCTGGGGAGGAGTTCCTTTCGCTTTCTTGTCAAAAATTAACTTTGCTATTTTTTAGGAGGGATTTCAACTTGGTTCGCTAGCACTTTGTCCCCACTATTAGACACTAATTCGAGCCGACCATTATCAGCAGCAATTAAAAACTATTGTCAAAGCATTTAAGCAGTGGCAGAAAATCAGTTATTATCAACAATTAGAAAAAGAAAGGGCAGAATTAGAAGCCAAAATAATTCAAACACCACCATCCAAACAATAAACTATGTCCCAACTAATTTATAAAAATGGCTGTTGAGATTGCTTAAAAGCCCAACAAGACCCTGCGGAAAAATATGTCTGTTCTAAACTTCAACAACATTGATTAGAATAAAAAAGATATGACAAAAAATTTGGATAAATGTTTTTATTGTTTTTTGTCGTTTACCTGATTATATTTTGTTTTTCCAGTGTCTATGTCTACGGCGATTATTTTATTAAAATTCCTGTCAACGACATAAAGATAATCACGATTACCATCACTTTTGATTTCTTTATTGGCTATTCTTTCCCCAAGCACTTTTAAAAGTTTCTGGGAACTAATTGAATATCTTTCTAACATTCTCTCCAACACTTCCACCAACTTCAAATTTTCCTTTTCGGCTATCCCTTTTACTTTTTCCAACCACTCTTTACTTACCCTAGTAGCAAATTGCTCGGTTCGTCCAGTCCTTCGCAAAGTTCTTTTATCTACTTTTTCGCCAATTACTTCTGGCAATTGTAAATGAGAAGTAGTTTCGAAAAGAGAAGGCGGAGTTTCTAATTTATGTCTTTTTAATTTTTGTCAGTCATTCATATCTTTTTAATTCTCAAAAACATACAGAAATTATTTTTTTTAACTTTGTAAGCCTTTATCAAAAGTCTTAACAATTTATTTTCATTTAGCTTTCATATAATTTATTTTATAGCTGCTAGATTGTTTTTTGTATCTAGCGGCTAGATACTTTTTTAATAATCTAAGCGTAAAAGTTATAAATAACTTATGATTTCTTTTACTAATTCTTTGGCTTCTTTTTGTAAACCCTTGTAAATAACCTCACTAATGCTTTTTCCCTCATTTTGAATTAAGCGATAAGAGGCTTTTTCTTTTAAGGAATGATTAAGCACTGAATAACCCGCCATAGTTAAATATTTTCGGGCGGCTTCCTCCTCGCTTTTAGTGGCTAAATGGTTAAGCACGAATACTAATTTTTTTTTAGGAATACCGGCTTTTACTAACGCATGAAATTCATTAACCGAAGGCTTTAAGTCGGCTAAACTTGCCCCCGTGGGTTGAATTACTAAATTGGCCTGCTTGGCGATTTCCAAGGTTCCTTGGCTAGTGCGGGCGGGTCCATCAATAATCGTTAAGTCAAAGTCTTTTTCTTGCTTAATTATTTCTTTAAAAGTAGTAAAAGAATTAACAACTAAATATTTACTTTTTTGTTGCCTCCGCTGATTTCATTCTCAACTAGTTTTTTGTTGAGGGTCATAATCCGCTAGTAAGGTTTTTATTTTTTGCTGACTGGCCTCGCTGGCTAAGGCTTGGCTTAAAGTTGATTTTCCCACTCCTCCTTTTTGAGAGATAAAGGCGATAATTGTCATTATAATTTGGCTGCTAATAATTCTCTCAAAGGCAAAATTTTCCTTAATTTTTTAATCACTTTATTCATTTCCTCCACCGTTAGATTTCTGATTTTACCTTTAATTCTTTCTTTATCGATACACTGAATTTGGTCAATCATGACTTTCCCATTGATATTATTAGCCAACTGCGGAACAAATAACTCAAAAGAATAAAGAGGGTCCAAAGTTTTCGAGCAAGGTAAGGCAATTACTCTCCTGCTAATATCATTATAAGAATTATCAGAGATTATTACCCCTGGTCGTGGTCCTCTCACTTCGGTGCCAACAGTTTCCTCGTCAAATTCTACTCAATAAAGTTCTCCGTATCTATATAACTTTTTGTCTCCGACAATACTCGTATTTTTAATACTTTGCATTTCTGCCATTACCAACCTTGTTTGTCCTTAACCTTACTAATTTTATTTCATTCGGCTATTTCTTTGTTGCGAACTTCGTCTTTGTTCGCTAAAAGAATATCACGGCGTCAAATTTCCTCCTCGGTTAAGTTAATAGTATCTTTATAAACAATTTCATAATCGGTTTTGTTTTTATCAAGTAAAGTTTTTATTTTTTCGCTTTCGCTGGTTTTAATTAATAATATTTCTTTCATATATATATTTTATTTATACTTTTTAATCTAGCGGCTATATCCTTTTTATTATCTAGCTGCTAGATACTACATTTATTATTATAATAGTTTTTAAACAAATTTAGAAAAAAACTGATATTTATAACCTCTCAATAAAAGAAAATCACCTATTAAATTCGGCTGAATTAACCCTTTTTTATCTCTAAAATAACTATCCATAAAAAAGAAACCCGAATTTTGATATTTATCCAAGTAATTAACTCGGTAATGATTAGCCTTTTTCGTGGCTTGCTTGCTGGTTATTTTTATGTTTTCTAGAAATTTGTCCTGATTTGTTTTTGTAATCAGAGCGGTAATCGTTGAGCCAAGTGAGCAATGTCAACATCCCAAACCTCAAAATATAATCTGCCTCGTCTAGTGCCTGTTCTTTCTCCATGCTCTCCATACTTTCTAACCAATTCCTCAATTCGGCGGTGTTCCTTAATAGTCGGTCAATCACTCCCGCTAGGATATTGCGGCCTTTTTTCTTTGGTGGCAAACTGGTGAGACACCAAATTTTCTTTGGTTGTTTCTTTCTAATAATTAGGTGAGGGACTTAATTATTAGGGGGAGCCTGGGGAGGAGTTCCTTTCGCTTTCTTGTCAAAAATTAACTTTGCTATTTTTTAGGAGGGATTTCAACTTGGTTCGCTAGCACTTTGTCCCCACTATTAGACACTAATTCTAGTTGTTCTTCAAGAAATTTATTTTTGTTTTTTTTCTCTTTTTTATTACAATCAATGCCACTATTAATGTCAATACTATCGCTCCACCGCCAATTGCTAGACCAACTGGGAACTTATTATCTAACTTTGAATTTTTAATTTGAGAATTTTCTAACTGAACTAGTAAATCCTGAGCCTCCGCTTTATATTCCTGTTCATACTTATTTTTACTGTAAATAATCTCCATTATTTTTGCTTTTCACTTTTTCAATTTTTCTTTGCTAGCCTTTGTTGCTTTACTTAATTTCTTTTTTAATTTTTGAAACTTTTTCTTAGCCCCTATTTTTCCAATATTTTCATTGATTTTTCTTTCTAATTCTTTAAGTTGAGTTGGTTCTTTAATTTCACCTTTTTTAATTTTTTGTCATTCAGTCTCTAACTCTTTATCTAATTCCTCACTGGAAAGATTATTTTTTTTCATATTTTCCTCTATCTCACCAATAATTCCTTCGCGGTATTTGACCGGATTATTTTGAATTAATTCTTCTTTAATGGCTTCGATTTGAGTTTTTTGTTTTTCAAAGCCTTCTTCACCGTGAATTTTGCCAGCATTTTTAACAACTTCAACTTTATCGTCATCCGTGCCGCTTTGGGCTTGTTTAATATCGTCGTTGAGGTTATTTTTAATAGTCTCTTGGTCTTTTTGGACTTGGGGTTGACTGGCTTCTGCTTTTTCCTTTAACTTGTCATTATCATCGGCAGTATTTTTAAGTTCATCAGAATTAGGAGAAGCAGGTGGGGTAGGGATTTCATTCGGAGTAGTCGAAAGAGCAGATAATTTATTTAACAGACCATTTAATAATTTCTCATTTTCAATTTTTCTTTCCGTTCAAACTATTTCCTCAGTGCTATCAACCACTGCATTAGCCAGGGTTTTTAAGTCCTTAATAACGCTTTCCAATTCTTCCTTGGTTACTCCATTTTTATCCAAAATATTTTGGGCGTTAGTAATTATTTGGTGAACCCGAACTAATTTTTGCTTTTTTTTCTGAGTGGTTTCAACTATCAAATCAGCAAAATAATTTTTACCCTCTTCCAACATTTTTCTAAATATAGGAACGTTTTTTTTTATTTCCTCTGCTTCTTCATCGTTTATTTCTCAATCCATCACAGAATTTTCTTGGTATCTCCTAACCAGCAATTCCGTAATGGCAATTACATATAGTCCACAATCATCACCGTTATCTTGTTGTGGAGTTTTGTGTTCTTCAAAATTAATTTCATTTTTTGCTAACTCAACTCCGAGGTTATTACTTTTTAGAAAAGGGCGAAAATATTGTAAATTATTGACATTCTTATAAGAATTATAGTGGTGAAAGGTTTTGTGTTCTTTATCATAAATAAACAAAGTTCAATGAGTATTTTCCCGAGAAGCAGGAACGAAAACAAATTTATTTGCTTTTATTCTCTTGATTAATCCATTGGCCGACCTACCAATTGGCGTTCTATTGTTAAATAATTCTACTAAATTTCCTAGTATAAATGCATTTTCAAAAAGCAAAATACTCCCTTTCTCTACACTATAATTTGCAGTAATATGTTTATAAAAATTTCCTATGTCCTCATCATTTAATCACTTGCTTTCGGGTCTGTTTTTTTTGAAATTTAGTTCTTTTGGCATAATTTCAAGTATTTTTTAATTGTCAATTGTTCAATTTGTTATAATTATTTACTAACCAATTAGGTTGGAACCTCAATACAGGATTCTGTTTGTTGTTCTTGGTTTTTTCACTCTTCTCATTGTTTTTGTTGCACTTCCATTTTAATTATCTCGGAATGAACTTGGCAAATAATTCGAAGTTCCTCACTATTTATTTTTTTTCTTAAATTTTCCTCACTCCGTTCCAACTGCCTTTTGGTAGGAGAGTAAATTCGTTTGTCAACCTTTTCCATATGTAAAAGAATTAGTTGCTCATTAGCAGTTAAAAAAACTTCCAAAGAAGATTTTAGCATATTATTATCCAACTTACCTTTTGCCTTATCTTTTAATTTTTCTAACTCAGTTCTTTTTTTCTGTATCTTTTCTCCCAGCGTAGCATTTCAATCTTGCTTTTCAATCTTTTCCAATTGATTATATAAAGCCTTATTTTCTTCTTTGATTGCCGCTAAACTTGTTTTTAAATCTTTCTGAATATCAAGAAGTTCTTTATATTTTTCTGGGGTTATTCTTTCACTTTCCAACCTGGTTTTTTCAAATTGAAGACTATCAAATTTTATTTTCAAATCAGCCAGTTCTTTTTTGGCCTCAAATCTGTCTTTATTTATCTCTTGTATAGTATTGCTTTTTTCTTGCAGTTCCTTTTCCACTGCATTTTTTCTTTCCAAAATTTTTTCTTTCTCTTTATATGTATTTCTTACGAAAGAAATTACTTCTGATATTTCATTAATTTCAAATCCTCCTCCCTCAACCGACTTGATAACATTATTGGAATCTTTCTTTAACTCTCCCGAAAAACAAAGTTTATAGATTTTTCCTTTTTGAAAAGAGTCTTTACACTCGGTGCCAGCAAAAAAATCCCGATTAAACAACAAAAATTCTTCATCGCAACCAGAAACGACCGCAAAATTTTCGCGATAACTACTCCCGTTTGTAAAAATAAAAAACACATCATCAGATTCTTCATCCGATTCGTCTCCGAGTTGCACCTCTTCTCATTTTAGAATTAATGTTTTGTCTCATTTGCTATTATTGTTTACCATATCATTAGTATTTGTATATATATAATTATTTTTGCTTTCATTTTCAATCTCATCATTATTTTTCTCTTGTAATGAACTTTCTGTTTCCTCATCACTACTATCCTCTGATTCACCACCTCCAAAACTAAAACACCCTCTCCCATCCTCAGGACTATTAACAGTAAAATCATGTCAGCCGTTATTTCAAATCTTTTCGGCATTTTCATGCTTATCAATACCAACAGCAATTAGTCAAGCAACTTTTTTTGGTCGAGAGTTTATTTCTTCTAAATGACAATCAAAAAAATCTTTCCAAGCCTTAGGTAAACCAATATTCGATTGCGGGGTGTTAGGGATACAAAACTTCTCATAATCAGAAATATTCATCAATTTAGGATTATTTTTAATAGATGAAAAAGTCAATTTAGTTATCTTATCCAAACCATCTATTTTTTTTAACTCTTTACAATACTCTACTAAAAATGAGGTTAAATTTATATTTTGGCTTAAATCGATAAAAAGTAATCGATTAGCATCTGAAATGCTTAATAACTTCAAATTGAGTTGGGAATTTAAACTGAGTTCTTTAATTTCACTTCCACTAATAACTAACTCAACAAGACTAGCATTATTTTCTAACCTAATATTACTAATCTCCTTTTGCCTAATACACAAATTTTCTAAGTTAGTGAATTCATCAAGATTCAATTCTCCTTTCAATTCCTTTTCGCCAGACTGAAAATAATAATCACCATTTTTACCAAAAGAAAAAACAAAAGGTCAGTATTTGCTTAAAGAATTTATGCTGAGTGCTTTTACGTTTTCTTTCTTTTCATTAGTTGGATATTTTTTATTGGGGTTAATATACTATTTTACACTAAAAGAGTTATAACATAGTTTTAAATAACATTTGAAAATAATTTTGAAAGACTTGAAAGATACTTTTAAAAAATTAAATAAAATTATAAATATGACAGAAACTAAAATTATAGTCAAACATGATGAGAGTGAGACACTACCTTCATTCTTTTCTCGTGGATTGGAGAACTGTTTCGTTGAAAAGTTCGTTGCCAAAAATAAGAATAGTAAACCCGAATGAGAGGTATTTGTTGTTTCAAACCATCCCGAAATTGAAAAATTAGAAAAAGAGAAAATTAATTTAAGTGAATTTCAAACCAAACGAAATTACTCTTACGAAATATCCTTTGTAGATGGTGAGGATTTAATGATGAAACCCTCGCAAGGAGGACGAACAGGACAGGTAAGAAAGGAGGATAAAAGAAAAAGGATTTTCTTTCCTGAAAGCAACATTACTATCAAGGATAATTTTTATGAGGAGAAAATAAAAGAGTTAAAAAATCTCAATAACTTAATTCCGGGAGAGGAGCAGGAATGAAAGGACTTTATTACTGAGTTTCGCGGAAAACTAAATCAATTAACTAATGAGGATACTTCTAAATATCAGAAAGGTAAAGAGTTTATCGATGAGTTAGAAACTGAACTAAATAAGAAAACTGGTAAGGGTAATAATGATGACAATGACAGTAAGAGAGAGAGAGAGAGAGAGAGAGAGAGAGAGAGAGAGAGAGAGAGAGAGAGAGAGAGAGAGAGAGAGCAAAATTGAGGAATTACGGAAACGAATTGAGGCATTAGAGGCCATTGTTAACCGAACTCCCCAGCAAGAGCAGGATTTAAAGGACAAAAAGAGGAAGTTAGCAGAATTAGAGAACCAACAGCAAAGCGGAGGAAGCGGAGACCCCAAGAAAACTAACTGAACTCCCTGACTGATTGGAGGAGGAGTTATTTTGATTATAGTGATAGGAGCAGTTGCTTATCTCCTAGGAAAAAATAAAAGTGAAAAGTAATGGGTATGATGAAAAAGTTTAAAAGCGTCCTTGAATTATTAAAGGTTCTCCCCTCCGAACAAGCCTGTATCAAGCATTTTGAGAAACTTCGCTGAAATGGGATTATAACTTCTCCTTATGACCCTAATTCAAAGGTCTATAAGTGTAAAGGTAATAGATACAAGTGTAAGAATAGTGGAAAATATTTCAATGTCAAGACTGGGACAGTATTTGAAAGTTCAAAAATATCCTTACGAAACTGGTTCTATGTCTTGTATGTTTTTGTGAACCATAAGGAAGGAATTTCCTCTCACCAATTATCCCGAAATATGAAAATTACCCAAAAATCAGCCTGATTTATGCTCCATCGTTTACGACTTGGTTTTGAGTGTCCTATCTTTAAGACTATGCTAGAAGGGATTGTAGAGATAGATGAAACCTTTATTGGGGGTAAGAATAAGAACCGACATAAAGATAAAAAAGTGCCTCATTGTCAAGGTAGAAACTGAAAAGACAAAATCCCATCCTTAGGAATGAAAGCAAGAGATGGTAATTTAATCGCTAGGATAGTTCCTAATACTAAAATGAAAACTCTGTTGCCAATAATTAAAGCAAATGTCAAAGAGGGTTCTACTATTTACTCTGATGATTGATATCGCCATAGCAATTTATCCCAAAATTATAATCATCAATGGGTTAATCATAGTGCTAAACAATATGCTAATGGGGATGTCTCGGTTAATTCTATTGAGAGTTTTTGAAACTTCCCTAAAAGAAGTATTTATGGCACTTACTATCATATTACTTTATGCAAAATTATTTTCCGCTTTTGTTAAACAAAATTTATAGTTTTTTAGTAGTTATAACTCACTCTCCAATTTCTTATACTCTCTTAAATTTTCTTTAGCAAGTTCATTATAAACTCTACCTAATAGTAAAAGGTTGATTTTTTTATTCTTGCTTTCTTCCAATTCTCCTAACTCCAAGTCTTTTAAGAAATTAAACAAGGCAATCTTCTTCTCATAAGGGCTTTTATCAGCATAGATAATGCGACTAATTTTTTTAACCATCAAATATTCTTGACTGTTAAAGCATTGAGTTTGTTGCTTTTCTCCTTCTCCTATTCAGACAAATGAACTTTTTCCACAGTTAGAACAATGGGTTAGTTTTTTTACCATATCGCTCATGACTACTTTTACTTTCTATATTATAATTTTACAACAATTTTGAGTGGAGTGAAAATTTATTCTCCGTTCCTTCTCCACTTTTTTGATTATATTTTTACTACTTATATACTATCTACTCTAGATAATAGATAGTTTTCTATAAGTATTCATTTATTAGATTAAAAGGTCAAAGTATAGATTTACCAGTTATTTTTAAAATTAAAGGCAGGTCAGTTGACAAAATGATAATGACTAATAATGATAAATACTGCTTGAATTGTAGTGCAGTAGCCAACTATCCTAACCGATTAAGCCATGCTTTTTATTGTCAGTATAATAAAGAAAGTAAAGAAAAACCTGAGGAGGATAGTTGAATCAAACCTAAAATCAAAAAATCTGACACAGTAGAATTAACCGGTCATTACTCTAACTCCCCGCAGAATGTCCGCAAATCCTTTACCTGCTTTGCTTATCAACTCCTCCATGAAAGGCACAGCCTTGTCGGAGACCAAAGGAGAATTAGAAAAAAATGTTTTGGCTGTCTGGATAACTTCCTCACTACTCAGCAAGAAAATTACGATTACTGTAAAAACTGTGAACTAAATGGTAGCCGTTATAGCCAAAATAAATGCCCCGAATGCGGAGACGGAAGCGGAACCATCAAATTCCCGAACCAACCCCCAAGAAATTGCAAAACTTGCCACTTAACCAAAGTAAAAATCCTAGACCAAGCCAAGTCTCAACTCCCGAAGTTGGAAAAAAACTTGGAGCAAATCACCCAACTTCGGCAGCAACTCCAAGCCCATGAATAAACTCCACGAACTAACTGGGAAAGTAATTACCAAAGAATTCCGCAAAGTCTACGACAAGAAATCTCCTTATCACGGCAATACTCATTATAAATGTCAAGCCCTCATTGAAAATAAGAAAAAAGAAGAAAGTTTATTTGTTTACCCTAATTTAGTAAGTAAAGAAATCTTTCAAATCATTGAGCAAAGCCACTACATCGACAAGAGATACCTCTTTTTTTGCCACAAAAAAACTAAGGGTTGAGTTTTACACGATTGGAAGGAATTGCCACTTTTAAATCCTACTTCGGAACTGTTAGAAAATCATGAACAAAAACCTTAACACCATTGAAAAAAAACTTAAATTCCATTGCTCAACTTGCTCAACTACTTGACAATTATTAGTAATTCGCACGGACAATCTAACTAATGCCAATACCCCGTGCTTAAATAATTGCTCCC